CCCCCCCCCCCCCCATCCCCCACCCTCACAAATTTAAATATATAATAACGCATAGAGGAGTAGCAAGCATGCACTGAACCAAGAGCTGGTCAAGAATCTTGCTAAGAGATGGAACTGGTGGGGAACTAGGCATCGTGCTAAGAGATGAGAGTGGCAGGGGTATATATGTGGCTTGTACAGTTGTACTTATAAGAAAAATCATGGAGGTGTTGAACATCTAGAGATTGAGGCGATGAAATGGATCTTATATAGAAGGCTAAATAGCTGCAATTCTAGAATAGTAATGTTGAATCAGACTGCTTTACTGCTGTGAATGCACTAAGAATGCCTACCTTGCTGCTGAAATGCTGAATCCGAAATGTGTTTTGGTCTAAGATTGTCAAAGTTTATGTGATGATACTACAGATGTCTACATATGTGAGATAAAAACAAATGTAGTAGCTCATGATATTTTTAAATTTGATTTGGTGGCAAAGTCATCCTCTTTGTTGTCATAAACGGAGAAATTGGCCAAACTGGCTTGTCTTTCAGTACTCAATTTTTGTACCTTGATTTCCATCATTTGCTATGAGCCTATAAATGCACCTTTTCTTTCAAAAAACAAAATAAAGAAATTGTCGGGCAAACAGACGATGCATAACCGGGCCTCCTTGGCAAGTAAAAGTGGAATGTAGTTGTAAATAAAGTACAAATATTTTTGTCAAGTAGCAATTCAAGAAACTTGACATAATACTTTGACGCCACACTTGATGTAATTAGGAAGACTTCAAAGACTACTTTGGTATTATTAGTACTTGATTTCTCTTTCATTCAGATTAAGAGAAATATAAAACTCGGATTTATCTTCAATCCTGGTTTTATATATGGCTGCCATGAGTTGCTCATCATTGTTCAAAGTGGATATCAAGAATGCCAGTTTATATTATGTCATTCTTTTTATGGTTTGGAACGATCTTCATGTACTTGCTACTAGCTATGTAACAAGGTTAGTGCGTATGACTTGTATGCTCTGGCTCAAAGGGGTGTGTTGGTGTGTAGGAAGTAAATGTGGAATAAAGTTGTGAATAAAGTAGGAACATTTCTGGAAGTATCCATTCCAGAACCTTGGCATATTCCTTTGATGTCACTCATTGTGCCACCCTTCATGTCATTAGGAATACTTAGGAGACTACTTTTGTATTGCAGCCCCTTTGTCACATAAAAAGGTTCCACATTTCATTTTTGGTTTGTCCCTAAAAATCCACTTTCCTTTTGAGGTAAAAATTGTGTGACTCATATAGCATATTTCTCCTCTACACAACTGAACCACACAAGTTCATATTTCTTAATAACTATACTAAGTGAATTGTGGAACCTTATTCTAGGAAAGATGGAGTAAATACTTGTATCCCCTTCATTTAGATAAACAGAAATATAAAACTTCAACAATATATTCAGTCTTCACACATCCAATTGCTTATAATAGTGCTCCCATTGTCCCATAAAAAAGAGTTATGTTGTACAATATTACAACTTCAAAATTTATTAAGTTTAACCATTTAAAGCCAACAAATATAGCTATATTTTTAAAATGTATTTAATGCTTTAACTAAAGCTAACACAATCAACTTGTTTAGGACACTTTCTTTTTTAAAAAATTAGATATAATCGAAATTAATTTCAATTATTCAAATTGAATTTATTTAGACAAAAAAAAGTTTAGAAAGTGGACTCTTTGTATGGGAGATAGGAAGAGTATACAATAGTACACCATTCATTTATAACACAACTACAACTACAGTGTCATAATGGGGAAATACTTGTATACGCTTTTTACATCAAAATTTTCCAAAATACATCCAAATATAAAACTCATACTACGTAAGATATGAGAAGAGAACAAACATTACTTCTATCCTAACATCCCAGGATGAAATACAAGAGCTGGCTATAAAATAGGGGACTATAGAACAAAAAGATGAAAAGTTTTCTCCAAGATAAACAGTTCTAAATTATACTAAAGCATCATACTCTAAAGTTATTTTCTTAAAAGGTTAAGTCACTAGTTAACTAATAGTGATGATGATAATGATGACGACAAAGAGAAAATGAAGCAATAACATACAATTGCCCCTGATGTACAGTTGACTGTAATATCTCCACCATTGATTTCAACAACCTCTCCATCTATCCAAGCTACCTCAGGATCCTCAACCCAAACATGTGTTCCAACAACTACACTGGAAACACTCTGCAAGAAACGGTTAAAACTACTAGCATGAAAATCCAAACAGAAAAATAGGTGTTGAAAATTACACTATACACTAACCACACCAATCATATTCGTTTTTAAGCAATGTATTAAAGATACACCAATCCACGCAATAAAACTATGAATCACTGAGGAAGGAGAATAAGAAGAAGATGAAGAAGAAGAAAGATGACTTCATATCTCATTTATTGATATCTAACTAACTAGTATATGAGCTATAAAATTGAAAACTGAATTAGCATTAGACATCTAAGTCAATCCTCGACTGAAAGCTAGTAATGATTTATGAACACTTCATGGAACATCTAAGTCATGATTACCATTAATCCTCATCTAAAAGTAATTACTTATGAAAACTTCATTATTATAAAATTAAAAAAAAAACTTTCAACAAAGCCATGCTCTTTTAAACCTCAAGAGGATGGAACATTTCTCAGAGTATAATTGCTCAGACTTGCAATTTTGGGAGGATTCTACTAGGAAAATAAACAGTACTCCTTTTTTCCTATCTCTACGAAATCTTGTCATTGTTAAGTCAGATATTATGAGATTTTCATTTTTTTTAGTTATCTTGTCTTGTCCCTGCAGAAATCACAGTTTGATGCATGGAAATTCTTATATCCCAGTAAAAACAAGAGAAAATTTGTTTCCATTAGACCTCTTCAATGCACTGCTGCACTGAACTTATAAACAGAACTTGAAATGTAAATAAATCACATTACCATTTCTTCAACTCCAGGAGCAATCAAGATCCTCCTCTATGGAAATTCCTTCAAATCCTCAACGCCTTTAAAATCATGGATTCTTCTCCCTATGAATCCATATCCTACGCCACACCTATAATGTATTGCTTGTTGCATGAATAGACAGGGCGGGGGGAAAAGGGTTTTTGCTCTATATTCTGTGTCCAATGGGAGAGGAAGGAGGAAATTTGGGAGTGGCGAGTGAAGGGTTTAGAGAAATCAAATGGGGAAGAGACCCATGTCGATCAAAATCGTTCGATTTCTCCCCCGATCGAAATAGCTCAAACCCTTCTGCAACTTTCCCTTTCCCAGCGGAAAGACGGCCGGAAACCCTCTCGCTCTCAAATAAATCGCTCTATCTCTCCCGTGCGGCAACGGAATTGAAATGGCTATATCGCATTTTATTCAAAATCTCTCTCTCTCTCTCTTTCTCTCCCTTGTGCGTAAGCGGTGCTCACGTAAAACAATGCAGGAGATTGCAGCTCCGCGGAGATGCATGGGCAATTGGAGTAGGGTCTACACATATATATAGAAAAAATAGCTAATGCATTCTGTTGTAATGACGAGAGGTGACAAATCGGTGGGTCAGGTCGGGTTCGGTCATTCAAATTTGGGTTATTTTGGGTTCGGATCAATTTGGGTTTGGATTGAGAACTGTATGTTCATGACCCAGTGTCATCGAAATCGGGTCGACCCAACGGGTTATGGCTTTAGTTTTTTAAATTTTTAAATTCACATTAACACTTACATTTTCTATTAAATAAATTTAAAATATAAAAACAAAGAATTAAATCTACAAAATTATTTTATTTTAAACTCTAAAGTAGTTTTTAGATATATAAATCAATATAAGGAATTTAAAAATGCTTAAGTTTTGGAAAAAAGTAAGATAATTATGTAATATCATTAAAATTTTGTTTGAAAATAGAAATTTATACACTAAAAACAAGTAAAAAAGTGTATAATTTTAAAAAATTCTTACTTTAGCGGGTCGATCAGGTCGGGTTCAGGTTCGGTCGGGTTTGACCCATTTTTAGCGGGTCATTTTGGGTTCAGTCATCAAAACCTTTGTTCAAAACCCAGTGTTTTTAGGTCGGGATTCGGGTCAAAAACAGGTCAGGTCACTTTTTGCCAGGTCTAGTAATAACTAAGGGATATTCCATCAAATATTTTGTTGCAATGACTGGGAAAAGATATTTTATCCAACATTTCATTTTGTTGTAATGATTGGGAAGGAATACATCATCCAACATTTCATCCATAAATGTTAATAAAAATATTCTTTCCTATTTTTTCTTTAATGTTTTATGATAATAATTCTTAGGTTTTTTTATTTTTTTATTTTTCTTTTTTTTACTCTTTTTTAAAGTTTTTTTTAGATTTTTTTCTATAAAATCGTATAAAAATTCAAAACTGTATGATATAAAAATAAATGAAATAAAAAAATTTCTAAAAAAGAAAAAAATGAGTAATGATAAAATGGGGAAAAATACATTAATTAATGTTATGAATGAAGTATTGGATGAAATGTCCCCTCTAAGTCATTACAATAAAATGTATGGATCTCTGTTGTCTTCTTGAAAATAAAGGGACCTAAGAGTTATTTTTACAAAACTCATGTCACTCGTATGTAATTTTCTGCCATTATATTCGGCCTATTTGAGAAAGCACGGTTATTTTTAAAAAAATTAAAATTAATCAATATCATTAAAAATTATTTATATTTAAAATATTGACGTTACGATTATTGAATTCAATAGGGAGTATAATATTTCTCTGGTCCATAAAAAATCATTTCTTATCTTATTATTTTTTTACTTTGATCTGTTCTGTTCATTAATACTACAAGTTTTATGTGTTTTTAATATATATTTTTCACATCAAAATAAAAGGCAAGCGTGCAACAAGCTACTACGCCACTAGCCCCTTTTTAATAGCAAAACTATGTCTTTTGAAAACTACATTGGGCGAGAAAATCAATGGTGTCAACTGCAAATGGTATAAACACATCTTAGTTGTCGAGGCATGCTCTCTCGTGTTTGGTCACTATGCATGAAGCAATTTTCAGCGCAGTGTGGCCCACCATGAAAACACTAGTCTCCAAGCCTACAAGAGGAAAAACTCATGTTAAATTCACACAAGCATGTTTCTCGGTTATCAATCCAAAGACCAAAATATCAACTAGTCTAAAGTATTGATCTCCATGCCAACAGTGCAGTCAAGAAATTTTGGTGCTTTTTTCTTAACAGAAATCCCAGTGCGCCAGAATATGTCAAAGAGAACGTCTCTAACCAAATCATGGAGCACTTAAATCTCTGTAGCTCTCTACAATGTACTACATGCTCCCCAAATGGATTCAAACATGCCTTGCAACAAAGAGAACATTTCTCATGTATCAACCGAAAATAAATGGATGATGAGTCAATTCACTTCGCGATATTTAATTATTCAATTCCCGAAATCACGTACTCCATGCTCATCATATTTATTTTTTTATTTTTTGTGGAATAATAAACTTTTTAACGTAAATTTTTTATTAAATAGCTATTATCATTTCTTAACATTTTTATGAATTTTAACCATACAAAGTTATTTTTCAAGAAAACTTTAGCGAAAGGGAATGAAGTATTTTGCAATCTTTCAAAAATAGAGAAGTTCTGTGGTTCCTTCTCACACAATTTTTTGACCTTTTCATTTAAAAAAATGTGTATCTCAATATTTGAAAAATGTTTATATAGCAAATATGAAAGTCGACCATTTAGACACTATGAACCTTAGGTCCAGACCATAAAAATATTGCAAGTGTGAGCTATTCAGTTATGATTAACCAAAATACGGATTATAAATTTTCAGTTGTGTCACTTGTGTGTTATTGTAATGCACTAGTAGACAACAAACTTATTTGTTGTTGGTGGAATAATATTACTACCTAAAAATTAATGTGTGACTAATATACATTTTATAGATAATAACTATAATAAGTTGAGTAAAATTTGCACTAAAACATACACTTTTTCCTAGTATAAACTTTTAAATTTTCTAAATGATACTTGAATAATGTCTAGTGGCTAGAACAGTATCCGATAATGATGGACACTTAATTTGATCAATATCAATGGCGGTGAAAATTCACTTGAATAATGACACGTGGACATTAACCAATGTTACTACATTAGAAAATAAAAACATATGATATTACATTGGGAAAGTTTCTATATTTTGGTATTATTTACGTAAGTTCTTCATAAGTTTAATATAGGAGAGTCCTGATATACTTCTAACACATAAGTCATGTAACGAAAAAGAGGACACTTGGAGCGATTTGATGCTAGGGACCTTGCAAGAAAATAGGTCATATATCTCTCTTCTTAGAGCATTAGCAATGTCAAGTAAAGAAATAGAGTGACACACAATGATCAAGAATATTAACAAATCAAAAGGAGTCCAGTCAACATATAGCAAAAGAGTGGAGTGACATGCCCTATAATGGTAAGTCATTTTTTTGTTACTTTTAGCCTTTTTTTACATGTTTTAATCATTAAAAAATACTTTAATTATCTTTTTTCAAAATAAAAAGAGAGATACACTTTATTTAAAAAAATATAAGTTTTTTTGTGGAAAAATAAAATAAAAAAATTCATAAAAAGAGAAAATTGAGACAGTTGCCTCGCACATGGAAGAGAACACAATGCGAAATGGAAAAGCTACTACACAAGGCAACTTTGGTTAGGAGCTGATGTGGCAAGGCATGACATGAGAGACATTTGTCTCACCATTGCCATAGCTCTTTACACAAGATCCACAAAACCCAGAAAATCTCAACATTTTGAAAGCCAATGTGAAATGACAATATAGTACGAGTACTAAATTTCATTTCAATATTTTAATCTAGTGCACATAAATCATAACTAAGTAAATAAACACTTTTAATTTTAGAGATTATATATAATTAGATCACTAAAGTTAATTTTCAATTAAAGTGTTACTCCGTATAATTTTTTTTTTTTGCCTTTTTTAGATTAGAAAAGGTTAATGGGGTATCTAAATTTTTTGGTGGGGGCACTAGTACTATTTTTCATATAAGAAAATTAGATAATAACACTACTAGTTTTAAAAAAACTCATTGGAGGATCGGCCTCTATGCTCAACTAATTTCTATCAAGTGTAAGGCCTTTGTAAGAAACTGGTTATCAGTTATCAGTCAATGTTTAGCGTTTGTATTTTCAAAATAATCTATATCGTTAAAATTTCATTTAAAATGTTAACACTAATCTCTAATGTTATTCTCAAACATGCTCATAGTATTTATATCATAGATACAACACAACTTTTGAAGAATAGTGCTCGTAATGAGATTAGGGAAAGCAAAAGATTTGACTTGTCCCATCCAATTAGGGATTTTTAAGCTTTAATGGATCATTCCACGGAGAACTCCTTTTGTCCTAAAAGAAATGGAAAATGGAAGGAAAAGAAAATGATAAATCAATTGAAGTACTCCGTATAAATCAAACAAGTAGGTGTGTGCATGATAGTAGGAAACAGAGGAATAAGATTTTTATACTCTCCGTCTTATAGAACCAAATTTTAATTATTGGCCTATTTTAGGTTTCTTTTTTGATAAAATAATATAGTCATATCACCTCTAGTTTTATAAATCTTTTCATGTAGTTTCTAAATATGTAATTGTTATTTTTTAGTTTCATTCCATTTTTCATATAAAATGATTTGAAAATAACTTCAGTTAAACATCGTAACGCGCAACCGAAACTTTATTTATGAAGAAAGAGAGTATATTATAAATAAAAAAAAAGGACAATCCTCATCTCCGAAATGACGGGAAATAGTAATGTGCATCTCTAGATAATTTTATGGTGAGTAGACTTGTGCTTTTACTGTTCTTTCCACTCTGAACTGTATGAATGTCAGGATTTGATTAAAACTTGGTTGGGACATACTGCGTAAAATGATCTAGAGATGCACATTACTTTTCTTTTTGTTTAACCCAGTATCTAATGGTAGTTTATGTTTTATTTTTTAAAAAAATTATAAACGGATCCAAACAAGAACCGAAATGGGAACCACCGGTGGAACCGGACCAGAACCAAACCGGTCCCAAGAGGTTCTAGTTCTGTTTCCTCCATTTTAGAAATATTGCTAGTTTTCTCTTCTCACCTGCTGCAACCATTATTACAGCAACTCTTCACGTGATTGTAACGTTCTGGCAGTTTGACCTCACATTCTGAAAAAACGGGAACAAACTAAAGCGTAAGAATCGCACACGCATTATTGCCTTGGAGAGCTAGGAAAGTAATATGGTTGAAGAAATGTGGTACTATACCTCCAATAGGGTAATATAATAGAAATCCTCCATATGCTGCATCAGTGCACTCCCATCTCTAATAGCTCGGAAAAAATTGATCTCCGTGTTCAATATTTTCTCAATAAATTCCTTCTCGCCTTTCATCTGCATACCCATTGTGAGAAAAAGATGAAAATATTAATATAAGAAAAAAGGAGCTTCATATGCAAGTATATGCAGGGGCACTAGACACTATAAATAAAATAAGGTTAAGACAAAAAAAACATGTCCTGATTTGTTGCCCCGCATTTGCTTCCATCAATGATTCAAAGAAACGAAATCGGGGAAACAAAAAATGGGGGCAACATTTTAAAAGAAAAAAAAAACTTGCAAACGGGAAGCATGCTTCTCCAACTCTAATTTAGAGAATAAAAACAATGCACTCCTATTTTGCTATTTTGAAGATATTTTACTCCTATCTACATACATTTCTTTCTTTTCTAATTTTTGTTTGTCTGGAAATAATTTTCAATGATCTATAAGAAAAGCATTGATGAGTGGGTGACACTAGTTCTCTTTCTGTGCATAAATTATAATTATGTACAGAGTAACTTTTTTTATAATTTCATGAAAAATCAAAATTTTATTTTTGGCATATATAGCTTATAATACACTCTTCCCATGGAATAATTTTATTACTCAAGGAACAATAGAATACATTGCAGAGTATATTTAGAGGGGATTATAACCTTTGCATCATTAGGAAGCATGCAAAGGTTGGCAACGGGCAGCCCGGTGCACAAAGCATCTCAAGGTTGTGATTTGCCTTGCATTTGTGCAAGACAAGATGCTACTTCAGAACCCCGGACTTCTAATTAGAAATAGAACCATCCACCTTGTAAATATTCCTTTCATTAATGTGTATAATTATGTAGCTATTGATTTGTCATATATTGACTCTTTCTAAATCCTCTATTGTGCCATGTTGCTACACTTGTTACTTGAATATATATATTTGTGTATGAAGAACACTTATGGGAAGTGTCTTTCTTGGCTACTCCATCCCGTACCATTGCTACCAATGTCAAGTTCCTGTCAACCACAAAGTTTACCTCTCCCAGCATGGGAAGTTTGTCCAGGACATCTTTCTCTTTGCCACACTCCCAACTCATGACATCTAACTCACCAAAACAGCCCTCTCCATTTGGCTCAACATTGTCCCATACCACAAATTACAAATACCACCTCAGCTTGTGGGCCAAGAGATTGAGATATAAAATCTTAGCAGATAACATCTTTGGGAGAGTTGCTGAAAGCATGAAATTAAGATATAGAGATATTCTTTTTGACACTCTCAAGAATGGGAGAGAGAGACCAAGTATTTTTATGAACTTTTGAAAATTGCTCGAACAAAACAGATGTTTCCTAGAAGTTCAAGAGTTCATTTTTTGGAAATAGGAAAATGTTACCTAAAGAAGTTTCCATGCATTTTTTAGGTAGTTGACATAAAGCAAAGCACAACCAATCTAATAGTCGTTCAGTATTCAGACTTGAAAATGAAAACATATCGTAGGATGAATAACCTCAACGGGATGGCAGGCAGGTATAATTGCAGAATAATGTATCAAAATTTGAAAACAAAGATAGAAGTTTCAAACATACAAATTCACTGACAATAACATCAGGTGTGGCTTCCCCAATAACATCTGCTTGGTAGCTATCTTCTAATAGTTCAACGTTAGCCTGCATTATGTAACAAACAAATCCTTGAAGCCATGAGAAGCTTTCAGAGAAAAAAGATGAAATATATTCAACCATTAGAATATTTTTGTTTTTTTGGGAAAGAATTGATAGTGCTAATAGAAGTGATTGTCCGTGTCAGGGTGTATGGTCGAAGGGAATATCATTACCTTTCCTTATTAATAAGTCCCTCCATTCGATTCCCGTGTTTGGGGTAATGGAAGTTTCTTCCACAAATGTTAATTCATACATGCTGAAGAAAATACTCCTATCCAGCACCTAACTCCTAAGGTATTGTACATTGTTTATTTTGCCTTTTTTAAACACTCACCCTACCAACCAAAGTACAAAATTTGAAATCCTTTTTTATTACCCACACATTCTTTTCCCGCTTAATTCCTCATTTAATCCTTTCTCATACACCAACCCTAAAGAAGTTGGGATCAAAGGTAGTCATGATGATGTACTCGAAGTAATGACAAAGTCTTTAAATATGTAGATTGCGGGGGAACTTATTTTTATAAAATGAAAATTAAACATAAAAAACATGTAAAAAGAAAATTGAGAAATTGGAGCAGCAGTTTATCACCATTGCATTTTTTGGATATCCTGCAGTGAGATAAACAGGTTGAGCCACGTGGCAGTAGCCCATTAAACGTGGAACTGTTGGAATTATATCTCTGTGATTTACAACCCTCCAGCTGTCTTTGACTTTCTGCAAAAAAGAAGCCTAGTATTTGAAATATTAACTTTTATAAAAATAAGACCCCACAAGGCACAAGCAATTGAAGTCTGGTTCTAGTTCAAAAATGAGGAGAATCATATTATAGGAATTTTAGTATTTTACTATGAGAAAAGGTTTAGGTTCTTATAAAAATGCAATTGTCTGATCAGAAGAAAAGTAAACAGACCCCTTTCCTTCCAGTATTTCTCTTAAAAACTCCATTAAAACTGTTTATGGCAAAGACTACACATTGAAAAGTGACAAGAGATAATACAGGTTTGCTTTACATTCAATTAAAGTCAGAAAGTAACTTCACCTCGTTATACAGTTCAGCAAATTTCTTGTTCCCAACTCTGGGAGATCCAAAATTATACATAGTCACAGAGATAGCTCCACGCCTACACACACCCACAGAGACAACTAAATAAAAAATGATAATGAAAAACATAGACTTGGATTTCAAATGTGAATATTTTTTTTCATTAAGGATGTGTTTGATTTGAGAGGAGGGAGAGAAAGAAACGAAAAGGAGAAAGGGGGTGGATTTACCTTGTTCGGTTTGTTGGAGGGGAGTGGGGAAATAATGGCTTGATATTTCAAAGGTGCCTTGTTTGGTTGGATGGGATGGAAAGAGAAGAAAATGCTGACTCCCCTCCCCTTCAATTTTTTGAATCAAATGAGGGAAGGGGAACACTTTACCTTCCTTTCTGTCCACTCCACTCCAATCAAACACACTAAAAGTAAGATCCTCAAAATTCAGCTGAATGCAAAATAATACTCCCTCCCTCCCAGAATTATTGTTCTAGTTTGACTTTTTTTGGTCAAACTGTGACACTCTTTGACCATAAATTGTAAAAGAAGTATATTTAGTTATTGACATTTACATTATATTAACCTAAGTAAATAAGATGTGGTTTTGATATATCAAATTTTTATTACATTTACTTATTTAAACTTATATTTAATTTGTGCTCAAAGAGTGTCATAGTTGACCAAAAATTCAAACTAGGACAATAATTTTGGGATGTTGGGAGTAATGATAAAAGCGGGCAAAAAAATTTCTGGATGTCCAAGATAAAACTAGCTAATCTCAAATAATATAGCTTTTCCATTAACACAAAGATTCACATTTTATCATGTTTAAGAAGCACAGTGGTCTATCCAGCAAAAAGAGGTTTAACAGAAATTGACATGCATACAAGCAAACAACCATCATGAAGAGGACAGAATGTATATAAAACAATCAGTTCAGAGAAGACAACATTACTTTGTCAGTTGACTTGTTGATAATTCAAGAGCAAGGAGAGTAGCTAAAGCACCGCCCAAACTATGACCAGTTACATAAACATGCCACTTGGGAGTGGGTAGAAGGTCATCATCTCTGCATTCATTTCATTGAAACCTGGTTGAGTTAATTTCCATTATTCATATTGTAATTGAGATTATATGATTACAAATGTGTTATTAGTATAGTTCTGTGGTAGCCTCCAAGTTCCAATTTGACAGAATTTATAAAAGTAGTCTACATAGTAATGTTGACAACAACAAAAGCCTGCCATTGGGTACCTGGGTAACTGCAGAGTTAAAATATCTTAAATAGATATAACGCCTAACACAATACATGGAAAAAAAAAGATGACTTCCTCTCAACTACCCCAGAAGCTGTCCTTTTAATAATAACGATACAATATTTCACCCATAGTTCATAAAAATAAATTACTCATATTTGAAATGAGTTTGTTTGCATGACTTTGTTATCTCAGAATCAAGCAAAATATATAGACACTCAGGAATAATGAAGAGACTTTAGTTGTCTAATACACTAAACATAGAAAGAACTACATGGAATATAGACAAGACAAGACACATTAAACCATTAGTACATGGAGCTTAGTACATACTTCAAGATGAATTATACGCTTAATGGAGCCAGAAAAAATAACCAAGATAACCAATATTTAAATGCAATCTGAAAATAACCAAGATAACCATGAGAACTTACACATATCCAACTGCTTGCTTGATAAGTGAGATAAGCTTTGTTCTGACCGAATCATATGCACTTAAAAAACCGCTGTGGACCTGAAGGAAATATAAGCATTATCATTTCATTAGTCATTATCAGGAAAGAGTAACATGATAAGAACTCCAAGAATATTAGGAGCCATGCTGCATCATTAGTGTATCTTATTTCTATATTTTAATGAGCCTCAAGTGTAGAATAGGATATATGCGCATGAATAAGAAGTATCCAAAGAAAGGTGCTGAGCTGTCAGAGGATGGAGAAGATACGGGATTTTATTAGTTTGAACTTTGTAAGGGACTTTTACAGTTTATTTCAGTTTATAATAAGAAGGGATCTAATATATACCCCAAATTGGCTCTACTCTACCACTCATCACAACACAAGAGCTCAAGGAAGTCAATACCCTAATGTCCAAGTGTTATGAACCGCTTTGGGTTAAATTCATTCTTCCCAAAATGACACATGCGCAAATGATCACCTTATGACCCAAAGCACCACCTCCGTACCCATCCATTTCGGCCTTACCATACACCCCACACAACTTTACCAACTTTCTTATCTACTTGATAAGACATTAAGACCCAAGGTTCAGGTATATCATGTGGTATCAACGCAAAGGTGTTCCACATCCCAAAGGGACCATTAACATGCCCTTCCCTTTTCGAGAACAAATAAAATATCATTAAAGCCCATCTTCAAAGACTTCCCTAAAAAGACATTCCTAAGTCTCACAAGATAACTTCCTTTCCTGTTGAGAAGTTTAAGAGTGGTGAAGGAACGGAAAGTTAGTGGGTAATGAGCTAAAAGGGTAGATTTGAAAATGAAGAATAAGTAGATATAAGGTTCAACACAAACTGGCAAATGAAAATCACCGATGCCAACGAGATCACGAGTAGTAAAAACCCAATGGTTTTAAGACAAAATTGATCTTGCTCTGGTACCATAATTTATGAAACAACATGAAGGGAGAAACAGAATGCTATATTGATGATAATAAATAAGCACCCCGTATAACTGAAACCCTTGCTAGAGACACAACGATAGCCTGGGATGCAATGCAGTAGATTGTGTACTCACATAGGAGCATATATAGCCTATAAGACAATCTTACATTCTTACCCCACGAATAAAACACAAAGCATTCTTAAATTTACTCATTTCCATTATTTCACCTGTGTGAAAACGTATCATGCACCCCTACTTTCAATACTTGACGCATCTGCATAAGATATTTACCGCAGTGGATAATTGTATGCTCTCAAATGCACATAAAAATGATTTGAACAGTTGAACTCGTCTCTGTAAATCTGCGCCCCATATCTAGAAACACAGGCCAGAACACAAGCCACTGCTTTGCACTAGAGCTAGTCGTGTCTTAACCAAGCCTGGCCCGTGAGGCCATGGCTATGTTAATCTTGTCCACAATTTTTGAATTTGAAAAATAAACTGCCTCCATCCCAAAACACTCGTCACACTTTCTTTTTTGGGTTGTCCCAAAATAATTATCATGCTTCTTTACACTTTTCCAATAGAATAAAGAATATGTGTGTGACATTAACTCCTCTCTTTCTTCTAAACATTCTACCATCCACTTTTAACTTTTCAACAATTTTCTTAAACACTGTGAAGTCAAACTATTACTAATATTTTGGGAATAAGTGAGTGTTAGTGTTTTATGGAAAATACAATCTAAATTCAATCAACAGCAACAACACAGTGGAATCTTACCACTGGGATCTGGGGAGGATAAATTCAACCAACAATTAGTCAATTTGTTTTATATGAATGGGGAATGGCATCGGCATATGCAAAATTTTCAAGGGTAGAAAAGACAATTTCCTTTATCATCCCCAATCTCCCCAAACTATAACCTACTTATTTCACTATTCATCTTCTTCTCCATGGGGTAAATGAATTAGCATGAGACTTTTCACAGAGGCTTTATGTTTATTAGCTAAATAAACCTGATCCTGGTAAGATCTTACTCAGTTTGTTGTTGTTGCATTTATAGGTAAGCTCCCTAATATATTTCACAAGTATACATTTGTTGGAAAAACTCCCATTTCAAAAATATGTAGTGTGCTAAAACTCCAAAAATATTTATACCTGAACTTCCTGCTTGAAGTCACCTCCTATCCTTTCAGGATTTAGCCTACAGAATTAAGATAGAGCCAAAAGTAGAAGCAGATAATGAGCTCACTTATCCATCTATAACACACACACCCTACAACAGAAAAAAGAAGGAAATCTTTGTCATGGAGTACTATTTTTGTAACAATAGTGTCATTGCTAGTGTTGAACATAACGTGTACAGCACTGCTCTGGCCTTTAAATAAGTATGTCCTTGGCAAACCAAGTGCACAACCCACACAGATATTTTTACTTCGGTTGACTCTTTAAAATGCACACACACACACACAGGTCATTTATAATCCAGGTCCCAAATTCAATATGCAAACTCCAATAGCTAGGAAATATCATTAGTAACAGAACTTATTTAGGTCTTCCTATTTATATAAATTATAAAGGTTACAATTGTACAAAATTGGTAGTCTATTAAATCATCAAACATAGTCTGTATATAACTGAGTATTTCATAACATATGTTCTAACTGGGTTATCTAATAGGAAATGTTGTTTTCCATCTATTTGCTTTCCCTTCAATAAGGTGACATACCGAGACCTAACTGTGTGCTAAAGTTGCTTTGAAAATCTTTTTCTGAATTAGAACTGAATCAAATTTGTCAGTACAACCAGTAGATATTATTAGGCCATGCAAATGAGATTGATTAATATGAGACAAAAAAAAGATCTTTTATATTGAGAGATATACCCTGTTGGAACCAACATTAAATCTGTCCGCAGATCTTTCCATCTAGCCTGGAAAAAGTGACAAGCAAGTGCTCTAGAGTATAAACCTGAGATATGTTAAATTGTTAATCAAGGATTAGTATGTATGTGAACCTACTTGTTCAGTTCCTCTGAAAGCAACAACTAATCTTTTCCGTGATTGATCTCGCCAAAGTGCAACCTGCAGATCTATATAGTCTGTGATTAGATGTCCATTCACCTCTAAACAAAGTTTTATACCAAAATAAAAAGAGTCCCTACGCCTCATTTTGTTCGATCTTTCATTACTGTTTTACTACATCCCAAATTAATGTTTACTTTCCCAAATTTGAACACCATCAGTTTTTTGTTTTTCTTTGAATCTATCCTACAAGACTTGGTGAGATCCAATTTTCTTTTCTTTTCAGAGGTAGATATGAAAATTGTTTTATTTAAAACCATGTCTAAGACAAACACATGATACACTCTTGGACAAAGGAAGCACTAATTTAGAATAACAAGAGAGTTGCCTGAGTGTCAGTAGATGAGTTATCTAAGAAGCATATCTTATCAAATTCAGATTTAATAAAAGTTGGGTGCCCCAGAGATGTGGCTAGCATTGCCCAAGCCTCCATAGCAGTTTCTGCTCTTGTAAAAAGTTCCCTCATTTCCTCGGCTTTTGTTTCATTTAAGATTGTTGCATTATGTATTGGGTATCCATGAACGTCACTTTTTATTTCAGGTGTTGAATCTTTTTTTGTGTTGCCGCTTCCAATAAGTTCTACCCCTTTGTTTGACTTGAAAACTGTTGTGTTTAGAACCATAAGAGCACCCAGAATGGAATCAGTCTGCTGTAGCAAATCTCTTGTTGCCTTCTTAATATCTGGCAATGATGATTGAATTGTGTTCATTATTTGTGGTACCAACCTTTCCTGCTTTTCAGGAGTAGCAAGTCCAGATTCAATATAACTGGCGACTGCAACTTGTTGAGACTGCAACCCAATCTTATTTAACAAGTCAAATTCATCCCACCTTATCTTATCAAAAGCAGGAAAACCAATTCTCTGGACAACATTATGATTCACAATATCAGCAATGTTTTTCCAAAAATATTTATCGGAGTGTGAGGCTTCAACAACTTCAATCTCTGAAGATTTATGTTCATCAAGGTTTGAGCAATTTGGGGAGGACTCTGGATCTGGATGGCTGTCTGACTGGTTTGAATAGTTTACAGATCTATCTAATGCTGAAGGAACAGCGAAATCTCCTGAATGATCACTATGTTTTCCTATTGCTTCTGTTTCATTTGAAGCCTGATCCTTCCAAATTCCAGTGTCATTACTTTGATCAGTCCACTTAAGCCGTGGAAAAGCAAAATGTACAAACTGACGTGCTTGTACCATCTCTGTGCCAAGAACTGTCTTCAGTGCAGATTCAAGACCATTCTTCTCAAGAAATTCTGTAATTATTGGAATGTGCCACCACTTTCTCTCTTCAACTTTATCAAAATTCTTGTACTTAATCTGAAATGTTTCATATGCTAAGTGAGAGTACACACGCAAAAAAGACCCATAAAATAACTAGATACAATAACAAGTCAAGTGGTATCACTTTTATGGTAATAGGATTTGCAACCAAATATCAGAACAGAAGTTTAAAAATATATAGACTCTGTGGCTGTTACATCAAGAAGGTTTTACCGCCAAGATAGGTTGCAAAGCCAAAGGCTAAAGAGAAAGATATTGTTGTTTGGTGCATCATTAAAGATTTAATCAAGGCATCTGCTTTTGAGTTCTTCCTATCCAGACTATTATTGTATTATGTGTGTAAGAAAGTCTAGAAACTTAGAGCTTGTTCTTTTCAACTTATTACTTTTTCATATTGGAATCAAATCAGATCAGAAACAATTTCAAATATAACTTCAATCAGATCACCAAATCAGATCAGAGATCAGACGAAGAGAACAAGCTCTTAATATGCTATAGCAAAATGATGAAAAAGAATGTTACCGAAATGTTCCATATAGATACTCCATCTTCCCAGTTCCCCCAAAATTGTCATTTCAAATGAGAAATTGGAGGCATATAAAATGACTCATCTATGTATTAACTTTTTCCCTGATTTTCAGGATACAAAAGCAACAACACAGTTGAATGTGACCTTACCCCTACTTCAGGATACAAAATCATTTTATAAAAATTAAAAAATACTAGTATATGTGGGCAACTTTGGAAGATTATTTGAAAATTCGCATTGAATTCCAAAAAAATATACTCCCTCCGTCCCCCAATTTTTGTCCACTTTTGACTTTTGGAACTATTCATCTAAGCACTTTGACTCATGAAATTCTCTCAATGTGTAAGCCTAAATATAGTCATGTGTGATCTTGTTTGATTTGTCTTAACATATAGATTATTAATATATAATTTCTATAATTTTTTAATATACAAATTACAAGATAAAATGGATTAAAGAAGTGCATTGGATGGTGTGTAAAAATGAAAGTGGACAAAAACTGAGGGACGGAGGGAGTATATATTATTTTGGGACAAAATATTGGCTAAAATGACAAATATTTGGGGATGGAGGGGGTATATTATGAAACATTCTTCAAAACATGGGGAATCTTATTTATTTACAGGTTGAATATATATGAAGACTAGAGAAAAGAAATCGGATGCATTTTCAATATGTGTCAAGTGGAGCATTAGATCAGTCTATTGACATACCTCTATGTGTAACTTTCCACCACTGCCCATCCCCTGCAACTCAACCAGCACTTCATGCATGTTTCCTAAAAAACATTACTTCGTAAATTGAAATAATAATACACACACACAATTTCAACTGTCTTCTTCATATTTATAACAAGAACCGACTGTTTACCAAATGTGCTGATGTATGAGGAGTTTCCATATATTAAGAGAGACCCATAACTGGATTAGCATTTAGTTGAGATCATACCATCACAAAGGCTTTCCAAATTAACTGCTGCATTGCCCATGCGCTTATGTGGAGTCACAAGGTTAGCATCCCAAGCTGCGAGCTGACAATGCATTAGATCAAATAAAATATGAGTCAAAGACAGAAATCAATTTTATGTTCTTCAAACGCTTTATTTGAAGTTCAACTAGTAAATTAGAGAAACACACTACTGTTAAAGTTAAGATGTCATTTATTGCCTGCTGAAGCATATATGTACCAAGATTGATATTCTTTTAAAGATTTTTGTTGGCAATACTTTTATATATCAAAAGTGTACAAGATAGAACAAAAGATCCAGATAATACATTCTACACTTCCTAATGGGTCTGTTTGCTAAGACTAATCATTAAGCAGCTTACTCAAAAAACAATTGCATCAAAAAATTATAAATTAAAAATAATCTCAGACAATTCTTAATCAGCAAGCATGAAAAGTTAATGGATACATATGAAATTTCACTATCTAAGGCAAACCTGAAGATCCTTAACGGGTGGTTGTTTGATATTTAAAGTAAACTCCTCATTCCAAATTGGTTCTCTGGTCCTGTTCCAATTTCCTTAATAGAATTAAAACTCTGAAGATTGTTGAGGGTACTTATATTTTATAGATAGAAGCACATACTAATTTTGTTTGTCTGTGTTAGTCTTGGTTTGCTAAACCCTTTTGTTTTGATGCTAGCAAACAATATAAGAGCTAATGTTCGTTGAGCATTTCAGGTACAACCTGAATCCACTAACACATTGGTTTTCAAGAGCAAAGTTATAGTGTTGCATGCAGAACTAGCGTAAAATATAGGTAGAAATATTGTAACATATATGTTTTATATAACTGTATTCACAAGCTCAATACCCTCACATATCCCAAGGTTAAAACCAATTCTTACACCTTTCCAAATGCCCAAAAGGTTTTAAACTCAAAGGAATTGTTTTGGCAAAAACATGTTAGAATCAAGCTTTTTCTTATGTATCTCTTCAACAGTTTTGGTACCGTAGTGCCTCCACTGGTACTCCTAGTGAGTAAAGGTTCAAATATAGCATTTCAAATCCTTTTGAGAAAGGGTAGAAGATAGTCATAGAAATCTTCATTTTAAATGTGAAATTTCGGGAGAAACCTATAGGTAAGGGTTGTTTGCCAAACTAGTGTAGTGCTTCGACAGAGTTTGCAAAACTCGTATTTAGTGAACTTAAAATCCATTTCAGGCTGTTTGGATAGTGAGAAAATGAAGAGAAAGAAAAAGAGGAGTGAGAAAACACAAATTTCTAGATATTTTCTTCGATTTGGTTGCAAGAGAAAATGGAGAGGGCAAAGAAAAAGAGGGCTTTGGTAACTGAGAAGAATTTCTCAGCTCCAACCATGAGAAAAATGTGAGATTGGAGAGAAAAGGTACAAAATGACAAAGTTGCCCTTCTGCTTTCTGTTGCGTCATTTCTATGCTTCTCCACTTCTTTTCCACTGTATGCATCATTTATCTTCTTTTTTTGAGAAAATGTGTCTTTTCTTTCTTTTCTCTTTTCTTGCCATTTTCTAATCATCTAAACAACAATTGTTTTCCTTCTAAACAAAGGCTTAAGGTACTGGAGTAGGGAATTGTTGAACTAATATAAAACATGGCATACTTTACTTTCAAATACCGTGTGTAATAATTGCACATTTCATCTATGCACACTTCTTATAAGTTGCACCTTAGGCACAAGTAAATGTAAGTTGGAAAAAGTTTCATAACGTCTTATTCACCCCACCCCCAAGGAGTGCACCCTGACTCGGGAGTGTTTGCAACAGCAATCTAATAGGATGAACTTCAAAAAAACTACAATGCAATTCATTATTCGATTTAAATTTCTCCATTCCTTAAGAACTACAAATCATTTCATTTTCTTAGCCTTCCTTGCCATCTTTCCCAGATGAAACAATGGTTGGCTACAAAATAGATTGAAAGATAATTGACTTTGCTTTATTCTAATGTTTATACTTGCTCCACCTTTTCTATCCCTTAAACAAATGTTGGTAAACAAGATAATAACAGTTTCTCATCTCTGTGACATGATAAATACTACTTCCGCCTAAATTGGTCAATCTGCATCTTTTACATTTTTTTAGTAAGGTACCATTCTTAACATTCATGAATCTTATACTTTAAAATTCATTTGTTGGATTTACACAATGTATCGTACTTGTTTGGGTGAAAAAAACCGCTAAATCAAATGTGATTCCTTTTGGGGTAGACAAAATGATGCTTTGAATGGAGAAGAGGACTTACCCCCATTTAACCTTGCTTCTGACAACCTGGCTATCCAACTGAATGACCACATACGGATCACTTGTACCCTTAAAACCTCAAACAGGAGAAGCATATATACATCGTAAGAAAACACTTAACATTTTGTTGAAAAAGATCAAAAGTATGTCAATGTAGACATATTCAAAAAGCAGTGGTCCAACAAGAAAAACAACCAGACTTCCTATAGCATCAAACTAAGTACCGATCTAGACTTCACTAAAGAAGAACCTTACCCATGGATCCATGGCAGGAAGATCAAAACCTCTATTCAGCTTGATGAAGAGCTGACCATCATAAATTTCACGCAAAAATGATCTGAAAAGCAAAATGTGAAATGAAATTTAGCAGTCATTTGAAGAGAAAATGTTAGAAACATTTCACTGAAGTGTTAGTGTACTTGTGTCTGAATGAACTACAATCATGCAACATTATATCGTAGGATATGAAGACTGCTGTTTACTTCTAACTATTTTTTCTTTTCTATGTGCTTTATATAATTGAATTTTGGGAGAAGCTAGTGCTCAAAAACACATTTATACTGTGTATAACATTGCAACCTTTTGGTATTTCATAGTCTCTCGTGCTTTGAAACTAGAGATGTGGTACCCTCTCACGCGCCTATTGATAAGTGTACAATTCATTACTACTGCAGTACTGCTTATGTATCTAAATCTGATATGTGATCCTATTTCATTTATTATGAACATCAGTTTTTCTATAAAAATCTTAAAATTATTCTGAGGACAAAGTACACACACATACATCAATATAAGTAGGCAGCCGTTGAAGTTTTGATAAAATTGTATTTGTGAACAATGACTCTACTAACATGTCATCTTATAAAGTCTATCAAAAAACAAGAAAAGAAATATCACTATCAAGGGAATTCATGGAGCAGGATTACGCTACCTACATAAGTTAATTGCTCAAGAGTAAAAGGTCCAACATACTCTGAAAGAAATACAGTTTCGCAATTTGCCGCATCCACTTCATGTTTTCCAGCATCTCGCTGATCAGAATAACAATGTTTCATCACCACCAACCATCATAACCTTGCTACCAACAATGTTGGAATCCATGGAATGAAAATTATTAAGGACTATGGAGTAAGAAACTAATGAATTGATCAAAGAACTCATCTTTTTATGAATAATGCCAGTCTATACATTATACATATTCATCCTCAAATTCAATGAGATGAAGTACCACACCACTTTGCTAAACAGTATCCATTGAACTCAGAGTCACTCATGATTTATACATAAATTTGGGTGACGGAAACAAAGGCAAGAACTCTTATCCTGGTGTGCCCTCATTCCTACCAAAACTAGAGGAAGAACCCATGATTAAAAATCTCTTTTTTGATCAATTACCAATTGTTTCTCTCTTCTATTCACCAAAAATTCTAAAGAATCAGATAAACCGACAAAATTGGAAGAAATACTACAGTCTTATCCTGATGTGCTATTACTTCCTCCAAAAAAACTGGGGGAAGAACCCACAATTCAAAACCACTTTTTTACCAGATGTATATTTCCTCCTTTCATCCTAGAAATCTACAGTATCAGATAAACAGAAGAAGAAATTGGAAGAAATAAAGCGGGCCATTTCACAATACTTAACAGGAGGACTAGTGTAGGCTTCGAATGCGAAACCAGCAAGAATGACAGCCAAATTGATATCGAACGGAGGCCTCTCGTTCTCCTTCTCATTTTCAATAGTAGACAGAGATTCGTTGTCTCTGTGAGAGCCTTTAACTAGCAAGCCTGAACCCCTCCGAACCCCAGTGATTTTCCGGGGAAATAAGAGCTCCCGGGAAAAGGAGAGAGTAAAAGGGTTTCTGAAATGGAGTAATCTTGGAGGAGAAGAGACGGGGAAGATGAGATACTTGGAGGAGAGGGTTTGGAGAGTGGCCATTGATACAGAGATGAAGGGACGGATTCATTACAGGCGATGAGTAGCTCCAGAAAATTTTGTTAATGGCACTAATATTTTACATTAGTACCAATCATCAAAATATTAGTATGCTCTATATCTTTGGCATAATTTTATAATATATTCTTCTGGGGGTAAGTGTAGCATCATTGTTATTGTTTGCAGGTCGTCTTGGTACAAATGCATTAGTTTACAATTTTATGTACACCAAATAATGTACAAGAAACACGATTCATATAGAGAATGCAACACAAAGTCAAAATTTCAAAATTCAACATTATCTATTACAAAACTACTATTCCGTACAAAATTAATAGAGCGGATGGTAAATTTACACACAAATGGTAAGTGTGTTCATAGATTATTATTCTTTGTATATGTACAAATTCAAGTACATTTGTCATCCGTAATATCAATCGTGGTGGTTTCAAACATGACTCTATGTACTAATGGTGGCTAAATTAGCAAAAAATTTGTGATGATGATTTATGGGGTGCAATGGTCTCCATACATCCCCATCTCTTGCTATATTTGCTTTTTCTTGCAATTACACACATAATTGTTGTCACTGACCAATTGAGACACATTCTGCAATTTACCTCTTCCACCAATCTCAGGGCAGGAATATGAGGTGTATAGATAGTTGTTCCATATGTGTATCAGTGTATGTGATGCTTAGACAATTTTTGCCCATGAGTGTTCCTTTGGACAAATGTGCACAAATTTTGGTTACATCAAACTTTATTGTAATTTATAATGTGACCTAAAAACACTACAATTTGCAATTAAAAGTAATCAAAATAAGTCGAATGATACAAATTCCTTTCATCATTGATCGATTCATGAAACATGATTCGTTATTCCATTTTTTTTTAAATTATTACAATTAAATGGGAAAATATAAAACAAAAAAAACCAACGGGAAGTGATCCACTAATCTTATTGAGATCTCAAAGTAACTTCACTTCTTTTGATCGCCCATTCCGAGTGTGTTCTTCACCCCATCTATAGCTCCTTGAGCCGCATTGATCACCTGCTCACCCGTCTAAACAATCGATTCCATTTAATCTTTTAGTATCGTTAAAGAAAAATAGTACGGAGTAAATATTTTTAAAAGAAAAAAGTGTAGTGTTTACTCCCGAAGTCTTTGGGAATTGCATAGTTAAGTGCATCGTTTATCCTCGAACTTTTTGAAAATTGCACGATTTACTTCTGAACATTAAAAAGTGCATCAAGTACTCATGAACAATTTACAATGTTGCATCATTAGTCCTAAAATGCTAGATGGGGAGTGCGTTGCTCCCACGCACGGGAATTGCGAGTATGATTCATCCTACCATTGTGAATTCTTTAAAGTACCTTTTTCCAAAATTATCATCTTTATTTAAATGATTTTGGGGTAAACCTTGTAATTTCTAAAGAATTCAGGAGTATTTGGTGCACTTTATAATATTCCAAGGCAAACCGTGCAAATTTGAAGAGTTTTAAGATATTTGATGCACTTTTTAATCTTCATGGATAAACTACGCAATTTTCAAAAAATTTTGACCTAAAGGTGGCACTTTTCTTATTTTTAAAATGAAAAAATTGAAATATATCGACGCGCAAAGATTTACCTGTTGGAGGAATCCGGCGGCTCCGCCTTGCTCCTCCCTCCGTTGTTGGGCCGATTGCTGAGCATTTCCGGCGGCGTTTTCAGCTTTGTGCACGGCAGAATCCGCCGTGCTCTTTGCCGAATCCACAAATTGCTCTGTCTTGGCCTGCACATCATCAACGCATTTGCAATTCACAACAACGCTAATTTTATGGTTATTTCCGGCGGAATATACATGCAACAAAATATATAAAAAAAAACCTGAGTTCCTCCACGGGACTGGCCTGCATTAAACTGAGTGCTCGACATATTTGAAGTGATTGGGTTTTTTTTATGAAATAAATAAATAAATCTGGGAACAGATAGAGTGTATATTTTAATATTACTATATGGTTTAGCAGTTGATTAAATCAAATTGAATAGAATTAATGGCCAATGTGTGATGCTTAAATACAAGTTTGTGTTGGTTGAAGGTGATTGGTGATGCGGGAGGATTGGCACACATGTCTCCCATATTTGGTTGATTTGGTCGTGCACCAATTACCAAAGAATGTATACATACACTCAAAAGCTTAAAGCTACTATGATAAGGATGAAGGCCCCGTTTGGCATCAGCGTTAGCTATTAGCGTTAGCGTTTTGAAAAGGTTATCCGACGGTAGCCTTTAGAGTTAACGTTTTCGGAATTAATCTACACCATTAAAATTTTATCCAAAACGCTAACGCTAATCAAAAACGCTATCCCCAAACAAAGCCGAAGTAATGAACCCGTTTGGTTCAATAAAAAAACAATTTTTTTATTCCATTTTTTTACTACACATTAAGTTAACCTTTAGACCTGGCAAAATGGCTGGTCAGGTGGAGTTTGGGTTCGATATTTTCGGGTTTGGGTCACTTTGGATTCGGATCTAAGAAAGCTTGTTCTTGACTCCAAGTTATCATATTTGGATTGATCCAAGAGGCGTATTTAAAAATTAAAATTTTTGCTAGTTAGAGATCAAGTGATTCACGCATTATTCTAAACAAAGAACGAAATCATAAAGTTTGCAGTTCTATTTGCAACATACCAAAAGAAAATTAGAATATACCCTAATAAATCAGCTTTTTGTAGCATACCAAAAAGATTGAAGATTTTTTCAACATACCCAAAAAAATATATTGATAAATCGGGATTGGTTTGGTTCTTTTTATTCTTTTTTTAGGTATTTTTAATAATTTTAGATTTTAATTTTTATTTTTTTAGCTTAGTTTTATTTCAGTTCTTATTTTTAAATTCTTTTTATTTTTTTTTCAAAAGTTGTAGTTTTTAATCATTTTTTACGTTTTATTATTTTATTTTCCCTAACCCAAAATTATTATATATATATACATTATACAAAAAATTGAGATTCTTGCAACATATCAAGACAAAAATTTGCAATAAATGAAAGAGATATATAGTAATGGGTCGGGTGGAAGTTCACTTTCGAGAAAGTAAGAGTATACAATGTCATATTATCATAGTGTGAACTTCTATTTAGAGAATAAAAACATGTAACTTTTATTTTGATACTTTATCTATATTTTACGATTATTTAAGATGATTTCTTAAGTGAACATAGCAAAAATGATGTTGATTTAGCAACACTCATTTTAATATCATAAAATATCAAAAATCATATGCTAGTATTCACATTTGAAAAATTAAAAAATCTACTCCGTTCCTAAAAGATTACTATAGTTTGATTTTTTGGTTAAACTATGACACTCTTTGACCATGAATTAAATATAGTTTAAAATAATTAAAGTCCTCTCAAATAGATCAAAAGTCAAGGCGTCACCAATGTTCGATTTGAATCAGACTGTCAGGTTTTAGTATCTAATCTGACCAAGTCTATTTTATTTCGCACCCATTTTGCAACTATTTTATTGCATTTTTTTCGTAGTCTTCAGTCTCGTGATCGTTGGTAAAAGTAGGAATTAAGCTGCCCATGCCTTGGCTAAAGTTGAGGCTAGGGTGCCGGTCTTGTTCACTTTGAGTCGTATGATGTACCCTTGACTTTTTGAGCTCATTAATATGATGGTTTTGAGTTGATTATCAAAAAAATTACATTATAACCAAATATACTTTTATCACAATTTATGATTAAAGAATATCATAATACGGAGTATAATATAAAAATTTAATTGTGGCAATCTTTTAAAGATGGAGGGAAGAGGTGGTATGTTTCACTGCCTTTTAGGGGTGTATACGAATCGAATCAAAGAAAATATATCACTATTCGATTCGTATTCGATTAAAGTGATATGTATTCGAATTCGGATTCGTATATAATTCGAATTTTCAAAAACATTTGTATTCGATTTGATAGATATTTGACGTATTTGAATTCGTATTCGAATATTCGAATTCGAAAATATTATTAATTTTTTTCTTAAAACAGATTTCTTAAAAACATTAAATTATTATTTTATAATAATGTAAAATGTAGTAAAAATATGTTAGAATATATATAAATTTATATATAAATTATAATATTCAAATATATATAAATTTATATGTACAAAAAAATTTAATATATTAAAATATGTTAAAATATGTACAAAAATATTTAATATATTAGAATATATATAAATTTATTTATAAATTATATAATTCGAATAATTCGAATAACAAACGAATCGAATCTATTAATATTTGTATTCGAATTCAAAAATAATTCGAATCTAAAATATGATTTGTATTCGAATTCAAATTTAAATATAGCGAATACGAATCATCCTTTTCAAATACGAATCACGAATTGAATACATTTTATTTTATTTGTATGCACCCCTACTGACTTTCACCAAAAGGCAAAAAGGCCCTTATTGGTAGGAATCGTATCTACCCCTAACCCGGATCCATGTTGTTTTGGTTCGTATTCGACCCGTCTCGTCTCCCATAGTCCCATAAAATATAGCTGACCCATAACAAATAACCACAGGAGGGGAAAGAGACATCTAGAAGCGCCGCAGACAGTTAAAGGAGACGAGGCTTCTGGAGATAGATTTCCCGAATTTCGAGTTTTGAAGATGAAGCATTTTGAACTAGCCGACATGGATGAGCTTGGATCGACCGTGGCGATGGACGTGGACGAGGTAGAGGCGCTCGATATCTTCAGCGATGGCCCTCTCGGCGGCACCGCCGATCATCAACGCCTTGCAGATGCCGACTTTTTCAACTCATTCGAAGACGATTTCGATGATCTCGACATCAACTGAGGCAGTATTTTCACCGAATTTCATCCCCCTATGTTTTCTCCCTGCTAAAACAATCCTGCCGTTTTTCATGTTTATGAATGTCCCCGGATTCTGCAGAAGAAGAATAACTGGAAGTTGGAAAATTTAAAAATTGAAATTTCGGTTGCTTGCTGTGTTATTCTGCTGCCAGTTTATTCATTGCTTTTCCTCAAGTATGAGTAAGGTTTAATTAATGTCTTCGATTTCATCTGTGAAAATTATTGCCTTCTAGGTTAAATCGTTGTGTGTTTAGTGAATTATGTGATAAATTCACTTTGTTTATTACGGAGTATAAATTTTGGTGGCTCGTTTCTTAATAATACTCTGTATAATGGTTAAGATAAAGCAAAATTCAAATGCAGGGTAAACATCTCAGTATTAAGGAACAGATTTTAGGGTTTACACTGGATTAGGGATTTAAGGATGAGAACATTACAGCTTTTATCCTGTTTAGGGGAGGCTTAGAACAGCTAGAGTGCTGGGTACATGTTGAAGTCTCTGTGAGAGTAATAGGTAGGGAATGTTTGGCTCAGTAGTTTTGCTGTTTATGCTGAACCTTTCCCAGCCCCCATCCCAAAGAATAAAGTGTCCTTCTACCTGATTTGCACTTTGCAGAGTGTTCCACTATATTTATATGGTATGAACCAAACAGCATCTTTGAAGACCAGAAAGATGCACCCGTGTGAGCGTGTCTTGAGATTTTCATCTTGGCAATTGTTGGGTACGTTCTCTCTTCAATCTTCTTGTATGTGTTCACTACTTCGCTCTTAGTGTCTGACTTAGACTATGTTTGGTTCAAGGAATTTGAAAGGAAAAGGAAACGAAAATGAGAAGAAAAACAATTTTCTTGTTTGGTTAGAGAGGAAAAAAAGAAGAAAAGTGGCAGCAAAAGAAAATGAGAGGCCAAAACGTTAACGTACTAAGAGGAGGGAAAACCAAATTCCTTCCATTTTAGTGAGAAGAATGAAGGAAGCCCATTTTCTTTTCCTTCCAAATTCTTTGAACCAAACATAGTGTTAATGTTCTCACCTGAAGTATTTGATATCTGTTGAGTTGTCATAAACTGGGCTGATGAAGGTTAACAATGCCTTTTCTTAAGGTGGCAATTGATGATCTCTCAGCTTCGTCCCATCTTTTATGATGCCTTCTCCCGAAGTTAAATTCCTCCCCTCGCCCAAACTCTAGACTTCTCCTAGTAAACATCTTACGAGAACATCTAAACACTCTAGTAAGGAGTTAAACCCAATCGAGTTATTCCCGCTTGACCGAAATTGTACTTCTGGTCACTTTAGTGCTCGTCTTTAATATTATGTTCAGTTTATGAATATATTTCTTAAAACCTTCATCAAACACCAAGCCATACTTTGTGGTGCTTTTCCACTTCATCATTTTGGAGATGGTTGTGTTGGATACACGTATGAAGAAGGCTTCATCTACGAATTGTGCCCTAACTCATCATTGCCCAACTCTCTCTTCGATTGAGTGCGTTTGAGGTCACCTTCGGAAGTAACCGAGGAAGGGGAAGAAGTAGAGCTCCTTGCATCATATTGTAGCATTGGTGTACACTGGTTTTTCTTCATTGGGACTATTTTTTAGATGGTTTTTTTCCTATTAAGGTTTTGATGAGGCATGTCTTCATTATGAAGTATGAACAAGGGTGGGGGCCATTTGATAAAAGACTTCGTACTAGTTTTGGCTTTTGAAAAGACCGACATTTGTTTAGATTTAACATCTTAAGTCAATTTAGAGTTTGGGCCATTAAAAAAGGTACTCCCTCCGTCCCCAATTTGATTACAAATTGCGGGTTACGGAGTAAAATTTTCTACTTTTTGAAATCATTTTATTTACAAATTAGTATATATCAATAAGATATAAAAATTACATATTAAAAAACTACGTTAAAAGTTCTACTCCCTCCGTCCCCCTATATTTGTCCACATTTAACTTTTGAAACTGTTCATCTAAACACTTTGACTTATCAAATTTTCTAAATGTGTAAGTCTAAATATAGTCATGTGTGATCTTGATTGATTTGTCGTAACATATAGATTATTAATATATAATATTTATAATTTTTTAATATACAAATTACAAGATAAAATGGATTTAAAAAGTGCATTGGATGGTGTGTAAAAATGAAAATGGACAAATACAGGGGGATAGAGGGAGTACAAAAAACAAGAGGTGACATGAATATTTTATTTTATCAAATACTTAATGAAATCGCGTAACAAAAGTTATCGAGAAGAGAGAAAAAATTATAACCTATTTAAGGACGGATGGAGTATTAGAAATATTGTTCCCACAAGGTCGGTCTCGATGGTCTGAGTAGAACAACATATGCACAATATGTAAGACGACCTCTCTAAATTTTATGTTTACTACGAAGTATTTACATAGTCAAATTATATTTTCTCTACATGCATATTTTCGTTACCTATTAGATAAATTAATATAGTACTCATAATAACTAATGTTGCTTCTATTTTGTAGAGCTTTTGATATACATCCTCTATCTCAGAATTATTCGCCCAGTATAATTTTTTTTGAGTAAAATTAGACAAATTTTAATTTTCAATTACATTAGGTTTGCATTACGTATTTACTCTCTCCGTCTCAATTAAAATCGTCACTTTCGGTTTACGATGTTTGACTGAGATTTTTTTACCATCTTTTTATATGAAAAATGGTGTAAAATTTAAAAATAAAAATTACACATTTAAAGACTACGTTAAAAGGTTTACAAATTTAGTAGTGACATGATTATATTAGTTTATTAAATTATCAACGAAAATAGGGAAAGAAGGTGAATGAGTTTGATTATGTGAATAGTAAATAGATAATTTAATTTGAAACTGAGAAAGTAATATAATAAAATAAAGTTCTTATAGTTTTCACCTAGATAAATTTAAGAAAATTATTTTTTGCACTAATATCTAATTAAATTTTTACTTCATATATATTTAATTGATTGTCAAAGTTTATAAAAATTAACTCAAAAAAAGTAAAACTCGATGAATACTTTTGGACAAAGGTAGTACATTTTTTCATTATTACCTATATTCCTATTTAGTTTTCCAATTTTCATTTTAAATTATTTTTAAGAAATGTGGAATTGTGTACGGAGTAATAGATACTCTATCTGGCATATTTTAAATTGTCTGTTTTTATTTTTTCTGTTCCAAAATAAGTTACATGTTTCTTGCTATCGTAAGCTTTTAAGAGTAAAGTACCTAAACTACTCTTCTACACCTTATCTTCTCATTCATCCTCACCCTCCTAAAAAGTAATAACAATTTCGAAAAGTCAACTCTATTTTTTCTCTTTCTTAAATATGTCTCAAAGTCAGAACGAACAATTTAAAATGAGACGGAGAGAGTTTTGCTTAGAGGAGAAAAAATGATGTAAATGAGAAGATTAATTAATGACAACTAAAAAAGAAAATGAGAAAATTGAAAAGGAATAGGAGTATATAAATATTATCTTTAATTTTATATGAATATTGAAATAGTAATTGGTACATTCTTTTTTTTTTAGAGAAAGGGAGTACATGATGTATCATGATATAGGACCATGCTAGAATGTTCCTAAATAGTTCCTACCATAGTGCACTCAAGTTTCGCACATGACAAAAACAAATATTGGGCCCAATTAGAGGCCTTTGGGCCGGGCCTTTGAAAAGGAATAGGAATATTTCGTGACGTGCAAGTTAGGTTTTCCCCCAATCCTCCAATGGCATAAATCTATAAATACACCTTTTAAAACGTTCCATTTTTTTTCTCCATTCACACAATAAATAATCCTCTCTCTCTCTCTCTCCAAGAAAAAAAAACAAGAAAATAAGAGAGAATGTCACATAGGAATCCAAGGAATAGAAGAAGCACCTATATGCCCTACTCTTCAAGGTACCCTTATGATTTTTCTTCCTCCTCTTATAATGGCGGTATGAAGTGTCTACTCATAACTACTCATCGTACGGCCCTCCGTGAAAACCGGGCCGTCGTGGACGAGTGTTTCGAGACGAGGACACATTATTGTGGTGCTCCGATTAATGGGGACGACGAAGCGCAGGCCATGTGCTCGATATGCCATCTCGAGTACCGAAACGAGGAGGCAATCGCGAGGCTCCGGTTCAGACACGAGTATCATCCGGAGTGCATCGAGAAGTGGTTTTCGAGGAAGAAGACGTGCCCTTATTGTAGAGCGTCGCCTATCGATCCGTGCCGCTTGCCCTAGCTAATTAATGATTAGGCACAAATCTCAATTGGTTATTAGTTCCATATTCTGTGATTTAAACGTTGATGTTGGATAGTATTTTCAATATGTTAAAGGTCTTACTAAATGCTTTTTTTTTCATTTTGCATGGTAAATTATGGGATCCCACAAGAGTGTTTTCTTTTTCTCAAAAGACTAAATAATATTAGAGGCAGTGGCGCGGATTTGCCACTGTCACGCTGCCACATGATCAATTTTTATAAAATGCCTTGCAAGGCATGGGCATTTTGCCATGCTTTGTGTGTCTCAACTGCTCATCTTTTTTTTTGCTTTTTTCATAAAATACAAGATTTTTTAAAAGAACTAGAAAGATGTTTTTTTTAAAAAGATAAGAAAAATTATTTTTAATAATTAAAATATGGCAAAAAAGTGTAAAAACTGATAAAATCAATTAACTAGGCTCTTAATGGCATACACTTATAGTACTCCCTCCGTTTCTTAAAACCTTTCCTCTTTCATTTTTTTGTTTTTCTTAAAACACTTCCCCTTTCTACTAAAAAACCACTTTTACCCCCTACTTTTTCATACCCTACCTATCACATCATACTTTTTCACTAACAACTAAACTATCATATCTTACTTTTACCCATCACATCAAGGGCAAAATTGGAAAGTCAACTACAATTTAACACTTCCTTATTTTCCCCCAAAGTCAAAAGATGAATTCTTTTGAGAAACGGAGGTAGTATTAATTAGGGTCCATTATGTTTTTAGTATTAGTAAAAAAGCGAGTTTTGTTTTTGGCCTCTTAAAATATTTTAGTAAAAAAAACCATTCCTATAAAATTATATAAATTTTTTCAAATAATCCTCTCTCATTTTAAATGATTTATGATTTGTTTTAAAAACAAATAGATGGACCAAATGCAAAATTTACTTATTTTACATGGACTAAATCTTCTACGTGGAATACATCTCCCCAGGACTGTATTTCTCATTTATTGAAATGATATTGAAATTTGATTTCCTCCAAAAAAAATAATTAACCCTATTAATTAACTGTTATAGTTTGTTACCATTGCCAACTAAAGCCTGAAATTTGGAGCTTGTGCAAAAAACTTAGGCATAGAATTTGGCCTAAAAAAAATTGCCATTCCTTTAACCAAACACAGTACATGGTGTATTATGGAGTACTCCGTATGATACAAAAATGCATCATTAGAATAACCATTGTGGCCATTATAAAATTCATGACAGCAAAAATACAGCAACCAAGTGACACAACAAAGCTGCACTTGAACCAACACGAAATCAAATTCAAATAAGACAGAACAGCGTAGCTTAAGAAATCGTGTCCTTTTACGAAAACAACACGAAATTAGATGCACAAAATAACAAGACATTGTCTTTAAAATGGACATCACAACGAAGCGTTAACTTTATATATATACGTACCGAATAGAAGACACTTTTATGCAATACCAAACACAAAAAGTTACACACACACTTCGCATAGTAGCATTTGCGCGATTCTTCTTTAATTCCCCCCCTTTTTATAGAAACAAATCGACTAATGTACATAAAAGCCCCTTCAACAAATGTATGATGATGGGAAAGATATAAAGTAAAATGAGCAAAAGCAGAGACATGCATGCAGCTCACCAGAAACCAGCACTTCCATCGCATATATGTTTTTGGTGTATACTTGGGAACACCGTACCTGAAGCCAAGCCACCGAAAAACAGGCGCAGAAGCAAGAATCCAGCTTGGTAAAAGCACAGAAGCAAAACAGATGTTCTTTTCAAGCTCAGTGTCAACTCTCCATAAGCAGCAGCATGTCATGTTCCACTTAGTTCTACATCCAAACTACCTGTCANGAGGGTTGGGACTAGCACACCACTCGACATTGGTAGAAGTAAATAAAATTTTACCTGCCTTCAAATGTTCATGATGATGACGATGGATATTAGCCTTCTACTAGACCATACATTGGCAACTGTTTTAAATTTAGGACAAATATATTAGTGATGGAATTTTTTTAAATGATATCATGACTACATCTCGATGAAGCAATAAGGGAAACAATATGCTCATGATCCTTTGGTAGAATATAAAGCACAGTAACTCTTGTTGTTGAGGGTAAAAGTGTAAATTTATTAAAAAGTACGGAGTACTCCATAGTAAAAAGTGTGCCAATAAAGGAAGTCAGATTGTGAGAAGATGATTTCGGGACATCTTAAAGTGGCAAGTGGGCATATGATTTTGGGATGGAGTATTATTTATTATTTATTTATATTTTGTACCAGAACTTGCAAAGCAGTTGTTCAAAGAATTAATCTGGGCTCCATGTAATTTTGCTAAGATAGGAAATGCTATTTACCAATTATGAACATCAGAAGCTTTTTACCATTGACCTACGTAGGTTTACACAATATACGAGGAAACAATACATTTCAGCTGTATGAATCTATTACTTGCTTTCTATAGGACCTAATAGAAAAAACTTTGGTTAGCCCTTTGGAATTTAAGCCCCCAAACTCATTTACACGACTCCAATTAATTCCTTGTGACAGAAAAGAGAGTAATAATTGATGCAGAAAAACTGAATCCACACGATTGAAGAAAACTTTCAATCACTCAAACTTGTAAAACTGTAAAGCTGTATGTACACACTCTGATCCCCCCACCCTATCCAAGAAAAAGGGGAATGAAGCACTTCCCTAAGGTGAAGACTACATGAAGAGTCACAAAATAATGTAAACATTAATCCTACCATAGTAGTGCTTAAGGACAATTAACTGACATCAATTAAAACAACATGGCAGTATTGACTTAAATAAAATAGAATGCTATATGCAGCAATTTAATGAATTCAATATACCTCAAACATGTTTTCGTCAGGAAAAGAGTTCAATGTATGATCAAATCCATTTGAACTATCATATTGAAGGATCCTTAATTTTCCTTCCTACAAGTTCAGATTATGATGGTTCAATGAAGAGAAGCAAAATTCGATTACTACATGAAAACAAACAATTTATTGATTTTACCTTGGTTCCATACACAAGCCCCCCACCAACTGAAGGATGAAAACATGCTACATTGACCTCATCCTCTGAACTGGGAAGAACTCTCACAAGTTCCATATCGGAAACTCTATATACCTACAGAATCAGTGAAACCACAAAGGAAGCAGTAGCATTTAATCACCAAGATGCTCAAGGGTTTGAACAAAAAAAATGCTTCCATCTAAAATGAAACTAATGTTTAATTGAGGTCCATAAGAAGGCATCCAATTAATTAGTGTTCAGAATCTGGTTTCTGGTCTAATGGTATGCTAAGCCTCACATCCAACCAATTGTCTTGGAGAAACTACTTAGCCACATATAGGCTAGATACAGCATGGTAGTTAAGTCAACGTCTTATTTGTATTTTTGGATTGACTTCAGCCGACATAGTCAAATATGTGGTTTGTGTTATACTTAAGCATTTTACGCCCAATTTTATACACATGTGCATGCATGCACACACACATGTACCAGTTTTTGGTAATTAGTAGATGACCACTTGTATTTAGCTAACTATTGCTAACGAATTGTGTTAGCTATTATCACCCACGGGCAGGTTTAGTAGTTTGCTAAACAGTGTTTGGTGATTTAGTTACTCCCTCTATCCCACTAACTTTGGGGCATGAAGTGGCACACAAACTAAGAAAAAGTAGAATCATGTTACTGGTATTGAATATCTAAAATATGGATAAAGTAGGAATGATTTTGAACCACATCACTATGACAAACATAGAATTAGACAAATATAGCGGGGCATACAAAATGGTTAGAATGGACAAAGATATTGGCACCGAGGGAGTATTTACTAGCTTGTGACATGTAAAATGAATTCAACAATAGGATCTCAACACTAGTGGTTCAAAAAGTGGCAGGCCCTTTCCCTTAAGTGGTAGAAGGGGCCTAGCCCCCATCTAGGCATGCTTAAGGGAGGACTAAACAATCTGGGTAGAGCTGAAATGAGAATAAAATGGAGTCAGTAAAAGAAGGCCTAGCTCTAAGCTGTAGGCAAGAACTATGCGGGGGTTTTTAGAAAAGCCCTCAATACACACGCACTAGTTGAATTCTCCCTACATAGCCTAATACTAAAAAGTGGATTCTTCCTTACCATATTGGGTAATCCGTAATCCTTTTGTAGTTCCTAATCGAATGCCTTCAAACAAAATTATCCTTATACAACATATAATTAACACCATAGTGCACATCATGTGAAAACCCAAGATGTGTAACACTAATAATAATATAGGGTAATAAGATCCTAGAGAAAATGAGATAACTTTTGATGGCACCAGGTAAAAAGAGAGAAAATATAGCATATCTCACCTCAAGTATTGTGTAAACAGAGATTGAGAAATCTCCATCAATCACTACACTTTTGAGAAGTGAGCTGTGACGACGGCCATATGCAAGTAGAAGATGCTCAGAAGAGGGTGAGAACTGCAAAAATACAGTAGGCAAAAATCTCAATAAGTATCATTGTAAGAAACCAATGCTTTCCTAAGTATACCGCTACACACTTTAATTTTAAAAGTTAATTTTCCACATCTATGAAAACGGAGCATCAATGCTGTTTGTAAAATTAATTCCTTACAATCCAGGGGCTATAATTATCTCAAAATCCCTCTCAAACAAAACCGAGCAGACTAGCATAGAAATAAGCACATATGGTTCTTAAAATTGATGGAAAAATAAACATATTTAATAATGCAGACTGGTGAAAGGAAAATCTTATAGCAAAATATATGTCCGGGTGTATTTTTACAGGCTAAGTGTTAACCAAGCAAGTCAGGTTTACTCATTTAAGGGTATTTATGGTGTTTGTAGCATTTTGTGGATGATGGTAAAGATGATTCCCATGCCGAGCAGAGCAGATATTCAGACAAGTAATCTTTTGTTCAGTCCTAACCATGCATACTAAAGAAAGGAACTGATAAGGAAGACCTTGTAGCAACCTTGTGCCCTAAGTCCTAACCATGTAATAACACTCACCTGAATAGAGGTTAAACAATGTGCAGCTCTGATAGCTCTAGATGCAAGCACTGAGCCAAACCTACACACACATAGAAAGATCTTAGCTTAAAATAGAAATAAACGAGACAATCAGTCAAATGGGAAAGGAATCAAGTTCAGGATTTACGTTGACTCCTCAAGCGAATATATCCGGAGCTCATACATAATCGGGTGGGCAGAAATGGGATGTCTAGTTGGGGACGTGCCGGCCCCCATCGTTTCATTATGAATATGACCATGAAAGCTGGGTTCACTATCCATGTTTGGTAAAACACATGCAACACAGGCTGCTAAAAACCGCCCACATGGTGAAAAATGTGCACCCATTTCACTAGAGAAGCATAAGATGTCAAAGTCAAACATCGTTTATAAATTCATATATGCAATTTGAATGTTCTTTTACTTTTCGCTCAGATGTGGCATCATTGACAGACACAGAGATCTATAAACATTAACTTTAACACTGAACTAACAAACACAAAGTAGATCAAACAATAGTTACTGATAAAAAAATATACACAAATAAAAAGTAGTGTATGTGTATTACTGCTTAATAGTTAACGCCACAATGCAAATAAGTACTGCAGAAATATCTTACCTACAGAGAACAGCATGTGGTATAGTTAAGCGACACTTGTCTGCATCAAGAGGTGCACAAGGAGCTTTAAAATCATGAGGCCATATTCTAAGCTTCACAGTGCATGGCAACTCAGCTGCCGCTGCAGCAGCAAGCGAAGTAGCGATATCAGACTGGGTTTCGGCCATTTGGCTCATCGAAGGTTGAATATCCATAAAATCATGTACGATACTGTGTGAAGCAGTGCCATCATTGTATCCAGGAGTGGGTATAATACGAGAGCGTGAAGATCGCGGCCGAGAACCAGGTCTTCCGGAAATCCTTGGTTGACCAGTGCTAGCGACTGTGGTGGGCACTGCTGGAGGATTGTCTGGCTCATCAGAAATGGGCAAGTTACCACCATTATGCGAGTGCATGGCCCGTTGGCCAGCTTGACTTTGGCCAACCAACCACCCTTGCAGGAAAGATACGTCCCAGTATGCTGGGTCACTAAAAGGGAAAAATTGATTGTTTCTCTCTTCCTGCTGCAAGTCTGTCTCCATAATATCACCTAAAGGATGGGAAAGAGTATTGACATTTTCCCTCAAGGAAGAACCACCAACTGCTCCTTGTGCAGGAGAATTACTAGGTTCAATTGGGGACAACAAGAGTTCATACTGGCCAGTGGGAGTGGAATATGTTAGTAGTCGCACAGATGAAGAAGTATCCCCTCTCTGATGCACGCTATCAGAACCTGAATCTGTAGTACTCTGCTGTGAAGGCATTCTAGGATCTCCTCTACTCATTGAGGGCCAGATCATATAAGGAATTGACATGATAGGCAGTTCATTTGCTGAAGCAGATTGGTAAGTGGAATGAGCATCTGTCAGATACACAGTAGGAGGAGGATACCGCAAGTTACCCAGTGAAGTTGCCAGTGTCATAGAAGAATCAGATGAGTCCAGATCATTGACCTACAATATATTAAGTTATAAAAACAAAAAAAAACTGAATAGATATATCTTTGAGTTAAACGTCACCCAGAATTATACCTCGGCAGTTAAAAGAAATGGGGCAGCATGTGGGTGGAAATGAACAGCTCGCAGTGACCGACGTGTCTTGAGTATAATGGATGGAGATGAAGTCTCTCCTCTTCTATTGTAATGCCATATATAAAGCTGTACAGGTTACAACATAAGCACCAGATCTAAAAATAGTATGGACATGAAGCTTAGAAACATGTCAATATTTATCACCTTGTGGCCTGATGCTACTGCCAAAATCTCCCCCTGAGCATGGAAGGCAATAGAAGCAATAGGACGATCTGTAAAAAAAACACGAATGATACAACTACATACATAATATGGAAATGAAGATCGTTGCAATTTCAAATGTAACAGGCGATTACAAAAATCACGCGACCCTATGCACTCAGCCGTTTTTGCATCCCATAAACGAACTTCATGGTCCAAGCTTCCACTTGCAAGTATATCAGAATAAAATGGATGAAACCTAACCTGAAAAAGTTAGGTTTGAATTTAGATAACAATGTAAAGTGTACACTGTATCAGAAGCATTGCGCCCAGTGTGCCAAACACATCTTATAACCCATGAGAAATATGTGCATACATGAATAAGCAAGATATTTTTATTTTTACCTAAAAAGCATATAAACTAAAAAGTTGTTTCAATCTGTGTTAAAACATAAATAAATTATCTAGTTAATTTCAGATAACACTGCTACAATAAACTTCCCTTGCTTGTTCCGTCTTACATCTATGAGGTGTTAGGCATAAAATACATCAATGCATCACGGATCTAATTGAAACAACCTCTCTGTTTTTGTTTCTGTTTTACAGGGGTAAGGTTGAGTACATCTTGACCCCCAATCCCAAACGAAGTTCGGAATATATTGGGATTTGTTGGAAGGAGGTGATTAGATTGAACTTACGACTTCAAAATGTTACCTAAAATATGGTCTTCCTTATAGAATAACCCGATCTTCTGAAGCTTAGGATTAGGGTGATAGGGTAGAACTTTGGGCCTAAGTTTGTTGTTTCTACATGTGTGCTTTTCTTAACTTTGTAGTTTCTGCATGTGTTCTCATTTTGTTCATGCAGCTATCCATTGTCATAGTGTTCTTGTGTTTTGAGTCGAGGACTCTTGGAAACAATTTCCATACTTCTGTCCAAGTAGGAGCAATGTATTTGTACACACACACAACCTCCTCAGACCCTGTTGTGTGGGATTTTACTGGGTGTGTTGGTGTTGTAATGTCACAGTTATTAAATGAAAAGTGATAACATTGTTATAAATTGTAGAGACATGCAAAGAGAAATAAACTAACTGAAGTGGTGAAATTTGCGCATATATTTGATTTTTTTGGAACATGTGCTATTGCTCTTTCAAATTTTTTGCATTTGAGATGAAGGCTGTATTAAAACAGATGAAACTATTTACTCCGTATTATGGAAGTTCCACAGTTCAAATGAATAGAATGGGGTATCAGGGCATGCAAAGCTTCAGAAGACAAACTTACCACCCAAGGTGTCCTGCGATGGCCACTCAACACCTTTAGGCATTTCCCAGTTTCGCATTCTATTATCTTCACTGTATGATCTCCACTGGCATCATATATAACCAAAAATCTAAGGTCAAGATCTAAAACCGCGTGAGTCCAAATGGGAACTTAAGTTCGGGACAGAGAGAGTATAATAGTAAATATAAAGACACACACTCACATATACATCACTTTGATAAAACTGCCCTTATTCTTATGGCAGTGAGTCAAAAAGGTTTTGAAGGAGGCCAAGAGAAACAAGAACCCATAATTGCATATTGAAAGGTTGATTATTTTTTAAACCAAGACAAGCATAATATATACACACACACATACCATTCTTACAATATGGGGCGAAAGGTGGGAACTTACTGAGTTGATGCAAGGGTTTTCCCGTCTGGACTAAATGCTGCTGCAATGGTAGATCGAGGGGGAGGCAGAAGGGGACAATACTTTGCTAATAAATTCCGTAATGATTCTGCCTCTACCCTGCAATAGTGAAAATAATCTATATCAGAGGAAGGCCAGACTAGTCATACATGCAACATGTAAAACAGAAATTTAGTATGTATCAGTTACCATGATATAAGACCCCTTTTTGCATCCCTGACTACCCCACTCTTTAATCCATTAGAAGCAACACTGTGTGTTGTTTCCTGCCTCCAAAACCTTTTGCAAGATCGTTTACTTCGAGGAGATACCTCTCTGTGTGATAACAGCTGGAATACATTGCCACATCTAGTTCCATGGTAAATTAATTAAATAATCAATTCAGTTAATAATCTTGAACTCAGATACAAATTTGATATTATTATGTCCCATACCAAACATGCAATCTGAACTTATGACGGTGAACTATCTGGATAACAATGAGAATCCGCAAAGATAATGATGAATGATAGAGGAATAGATAACTATATTCCGGGATTACTAAATTAACATTGAACAACTAACCCCATAATGTGCTTGCAAACCCAATATCTCAAACAACCATGTTCTTCAAACTAATTACTACTCCGTATACTCTATATCAATTGATTTGGAACTAAGCTTGGTAAGCTACTAGCTAAAGGTATGACATTTATCAATGCACCCCCAGTGATTGTGAAATGTACTGTGAATACCATAAAAGCAAGTACGATCAGAAACAATTGGCAGAAAAGAGCACAATTAGATTCTAAGGAGAAATACATCACTCAAAATTAACTTCCTGAAGAAATCAAATAAGATATCCTTATATACTTGGTAACATCAGAAAATGGAAAGGCAGCTAGCATATAATTGAGATCAGATCATTATGACATAAATGCTTCAACAACAAGTCAGTCAGATTGGGTCCCTCCAATTCACCAAGAAACCACACAAAACAGTCTAAGAATCGGATCTCTGAATCTAAAATGAGCTCAAACTCGCAACTTCAGATAATCTACGGGTTCAGGAAAGAACCTGTGTGTGTAATTAGGATTCTGAGACGACTGGGGCTGGGGCGCAAGATTACGCGATGCCGGAATATGAGGAGAGGACGACGGGGATGGGGAGATGCGTGAATTATCCGACCAGAAAGGTGACGAAGACGACCTCATAATTTGCCAGAGAACGCCTCAATTCTCCGGCATCGGGAACGAATCCGAACAACTTTCCGGCGAGATTTGGGCCGCGCAAGGGCGGGTTCTTCTGAAATGGTGTAAATTATCGAGAAATCTTGACAGGGATAGAGGCAAGATCTAAGGGCGAAGCAGGGAGGGGAAACAGGTGTACGAAAAAGGGGAAGGCGAGATATTGTCCCGTCTGGTTTTCCGGCATCGGACAGGATAGCAATATGCGACCCAGGTGGTAAAGACGGGTATGCCCCTACCCTTTTCCGAATGACTGTGTGCCCGCTGTGAAGTCCTACGCGTTGAACTCGAGCGTGTCTTTCAATTGGTGAGAGGATTCTTATAGCAAAAAATTACTCCTACTTGACGTGCGAGTTTTGTTGAAATAATTTGCAAATCTCTGCATTTTTAAAAATACATTTGGGGTTCTTATCTTTTGTTGTAAAAAATTGAAAGAGATATTCTGTCCACTATTTCATTAATGACTACTATTTCTTATTTTGTTCTTACTGTAGTCGTTTTAATTACATTTATTTTTTATACAGAGTATCAGAGAAACAATTTTCAATTTATGAAAAAAACTACATAAGGAATTGAAAAAGACTTTGTGAAAAAAGAAAAAATAAAGTAAAAGGTAATTAAAGACTGAAGTCCCTGAGCTTTACTAACATAATCATAAGGGTAAAATAAGAAAAACACATCTTTTAGGTTCATTAACAGAATAGTGGGTAAAATTTTCCCTCCTAATCTTTACAACAAAATGTAAGGCTCTCTAATGTCTTTCTAAAAATACAAAAACATGTGAGTTATTTCAACAAAATCTGCGTCATCCAATAGTAATTTTTTGTTGTTATTGGTCCATACTTTCCTATTGAAATACAAAGAGTTGATATATTCTCATTAAATTTGAATTAGGGTGTGCATAATTCGGCATATTCACCGAAGTAATTATTTTGATTTGGTATTCGGTCCTTCATTTTTTGAAATTACAGCTTTTGGTTTAAATTTTTTAAATTAATCGATAATTCGGTAAAAACTTGATACCCATTTACTATTATGTTAAACAATAAATAATTGTTTTTAAAAATAAAAACAACAAGGTTAATATACAATTGCAACAATGATGTGTAAGTGAAAACAATGATGCTTTTATAACATGTAACTAGATTTTAACCCGTGCGATGCACGGTCAAAATATTACTCGTACAACAACAACAACAACAACAGTATATGTTATGTAAAATATAAATAATAAAGGAATCAACACTACCAATTTCAAGATATGCAACTCTACTCCACTTTACACACTTAGTATTGGGATAATACTAATGCTTGTATTTTTCATCAAACAACAATTCTTGATACAAATAACACAAAAAATTAGTACAAACTTTAAAAACCTCTTTATATACAACATTCCAAAAGTTACATGTCATTTACACTTCACTTTTTCGTACTTATTTTAACGCTTATTACTCCGCCGAGAGGGAGTAAGACAGTAAGTAGTATACCATATGCATACGCACCATATCCATTGTCCATGTCCAGCTTCCTTAATGCAGGAGTTAGACCATAAAAGCTCTAAGAAATTTCTAAGTAGCTTAAGTTAGAATAAGAGAGACATGATAATTTATATAACATATAGACATATTAGATAACACTTGATTATAAAAATAAAGCCCCTCTTTGAAATCTAAACACGTAGTGTTTATTGTAAAATATATGTCATATTTTATATTGCTTTACTTTTGAATGAACTCATGATGATGTAAAACACACACAATTCATGGCAGGCTGTATTAATTGTGCCTTTGTGCAAGGTTAATTGAAACCTCAACTAATTGAGGTGGCGGTAATGAAACCAATAGTCAATTAATTTAGTTAACACTAAATCCATGCAAAACAATTTAATAGAACATGGATAGAATTTAGTGTTTTTTTTTTGGATCTGAGCATAGTTGCTGCCAAATGCTCTCCACTGCCATATTACTTTAATTTGCACATGCTTAATGATAAAGCCTCATCAAATGATGCAGTCAAATATACCAATTTGTGTAAGCTAAGTTGGTTTGACTTTCTAACATATGATAGTAGATATTTTTATTTGCAAGGACAAAAGTACAATGCCTAGATATAACTTAGTTTAGTCAATAGAAGAACCATAGATGAACCAATCTGAACAACTTATTTGGCAAAAACTCTTACACTTCAAAATGTCCCAAAAGTAAAGAGAGTCAGCACACTACAACCACCTGCAAGACAACAATCTTCCTGTTCCTATGACAAAAGAAGCAGAAAACTCATAGTTCAATTGTGTAAGAAAGATATGCACTCGTAAAGACTTATCGTTGTAAATATTGAATATTATGAATTTTGAATAGATAAAGTGCAGACCTCCCATGTTGAAGAGATAAAGATATGAAGAAACACATACCTCTTTTTTTTCCCCAAATACATTTCTCCTTGGTGTGTTGCTACTGTAAACCACCAAATCCCATCCATGAGACAGAATAAGTATTTTAGTAAATAACAAAAACTGCTCCCTATTTTTTGGATAAGAGTGCACATTCCACAACAAAGTTACAATAACATTATGATAGCCAAACTCTTTTTAGATTATCTCATTTAAACCTTGCGGAAACATGCTCTTAATTCATATTGTTGCATACTCGCTCATAATTTTCTCATAACTTGCAAGCTAATATTAAATTTTGCAGTTTTCATAAAACATACTCCCTCCGTTCTTAAAAACACTTCCTCTTCATTTTTTTCTTTCAACAAAACACTTTCACTTTCTATTAAAAAATCACTTTTACCCTTACTTTTTCATACCCTACCTATCACATCATACTTTTTCTCTAATAATCTACCCATCACATCTTACTTTCCTCTTTCATTTTTTTACTTCCAACAAAACACTTTCACTTTCTATTAAAAAATCACTTTTACCCTTACTTTTTCACACCCTACCTATCACATCATACTTTACCCATCACATCAAGGGCAAAATTGGAAGTCAACTACAATTTAACACTTCCTTATTTTTCCACTTTTTCAAAGTAGGAACTCTTTTTAAGAACGGAAGAAGCATTAGCTAAAAATCCTCATACCTAAAATCAAAAGAATCATTTTACATCGTATTTCAGTAGCAAAAGATTGATATCAAATGAGCTTTCAAACTTACAAAATCGGTAGATTAGGAGATATCAAGCTCCAAGTTTGACTTTATAACACATCCTTCAATTAAAACAGGATGCAAAACCTTTTAGATCTTTCTCAAATTTTTGAAGACCCTAAACATATAAAAAATGATAAAAACAAATGAATCAATTGTATGGACCGTCAACAAAACCTGCGCAACAAACTATTTATCGAACACATTTCTATTGGCAGGTAAAACAATCCATTAAAAGTTCACATGGACAAAATTATATACTCGCTCTAAACCATAATTAAGTTCTTGTTTTAACTTGGGCCACATAGGTAAGAAAAATACTTGATACTGTTATCACAATTTGGTCAAACTCCCCAACACAATACAGTATCCACTATTCAATATTTGTATTTTATTGTATGATTGTAAATGTAAAAGGCTAATTTACCATCTAATGTGTCAATATACACATGAATTCAACAATTTATATTAAAATCTCAAGTCTCAACCAACAACACAACATAGAAAAACATCTACTTCAGGTAATAACGAACTCAAATAAAATTATTTGGTAAAAAGTTGTAATTTTAACCCGTGTGTCATCCAATAGTAATTTTTTGTTGTTATTGGTCCATACTTTCCTATTGAAATACAAAGAGTTGATATATTCTCATTAAATTTGAATTAGGGTGTGCATAATTCGGCATATTCACCGAAATAATTATTTTGATTTGGTATTCGGTCCTTCATTTTTTGAAATTATAGCTTTTGGTTTAAATTTTTTAAATTAATCGATAATTCGGTAAAAACTTGATACCCATTTACTATTATGTTAAACAATAAATAATTGTTTTTAAAAATAAAAACAACAAGGTTAATATACAATTGCAACAATGATGTGTAAGTGAAAACAATGATGCTTTTATAACATGTAATTGACTATTTTTGTAATTTTTTATTTTTCTAGTTTGAGAATTTGATTGACTAATAATGGTAAGAGCTTGTTTTCTTTGTCTCAATTGATTAGATCTAATTCGATTTTATTAAAATCTGATCTAATTATAGTTGTGATTAAAATATTTCGGAGTAGATATGATTTGATATAATACCAACAAGAAAAGGTAAGACGAGCAAGTAGTCATAATAAAAACAAGTTGAAGAGAATAATCTATAAAATATTGATTTTTTACAATAGAACTAGTGTTAATCCCGTGCTTCGCACGGGCTCATATATATTCTAAATTTTTGAGATTCTATAAATATAATTTTAGTTGTTTTAGTTTTCTAATAGTGACAAAATATGTTTTAAACTGGTGAAATATATATTGATATGTTAATTTAAAAACAAACAAATTCTACAAAATTAAAGGTCATTGAATTAAGTACTAATAAAAATAATTTTAATTAATAAAATATTTTAATAAAAAGTGGATTAATTACATAACAATACATCATTAGAGAACGTATATGTGTCATAATGTCACTTGTCACTTGTCATCCTTCAATTAAACAAATTTTATTCTATTTACTTTGTTAAAGAATATATGTAGCAATAAAATAAATAATGTAATAAGATAAAATTCTTGAAACAAAGTATTTAATTAATAAATATTCATATGTGATTAAATTTATATAATCATTTTTTGAAAAGTAATAAAACACAATAAGTTGCGGATAGTATAAAAATAATTATGTGTGTGTGTGTGTGTGTATAATATGGAGTATATTTTACAATGGTGAAATATATATTTATAGAATTATTAAAAAATGAAATTTTTTTATACAAATGCATGTAATCAAAGATCTTTGAAAAAAATCTAAATGTACCAATGAATTGAAATGCATATATCTACCTCATTAGTGGGTGTACATGTAGATGCACAAATGGCATGCCACATGTCAACACTACAACACATGAATTCTACTTTACATATATATATATATATTGCTTTTGAAAATAATACGGAGTAGTGTTTTTATTTTATGCCATTGAATGAAATTGTACTTTTTTATATTTAATTTGGAGAATTTAATGGATTAATGATATCGTAACTATAGTTTTGTTTTGGGTTTTAGGTATAATAATACCATATACCAAATCATAACTTTTCGGTGTAAGCCATAACCAAGCCGATTTATTATGGTTCAATATTTATTACTAAAATTATTTTATCAAAATTTTGGTTTGGTTCAGTTGATTCACTGAATCAATACCCCTAGTTCAAATCTTTGATCTCTTATTTAGGAGAGTTCATTTGACCACAAGGTACTTGTCATTTATTTATTCCACTTATCTAAATTTTGCATTCTACATTTTTGAATTTAGACTCCATTTAAACGTTAAAACCTATTTTAAGATGCTACCGAGTATTATTTAATATATGTTCCAGTTATAAGTCGACTTACATCTTCAAGCCTAGATGTTTGAATATATGATAAATGATCTTATACAAAAAGTTGATGCTTAAAGTTTAAACTTTGGATTAAAAAAAGAAGCCTTTTAAAAAATGATCCATGCTTTGAATAGCCTTCCAATCCAAGTTCTACCTGGAGTTCGACTTGAATCTATGCTTTTTTAAGACATCTTAAGATTTGATTAATTGCTTTAAACATATATAGTCTACGTTAAGACTATATCTTACTACACTTCTTACATTACCTTGTAATATTTTTTCTTTTGTATTCATTGTTCTGATGTATTCGAAAAAACACATTTTTAAATATTTATGCTAATGTATTTTTGTAATATACCTGCTAAAGTTGGACTAGTTTAATTAACTTACCATAATTATTTTATTGTGAATTAACTATATGAAATAGACTATATAAATTGTTTAGACACAAGTGAGTAATAAGGGGTTGTTTGCTACGTAGAGCATGGTTGAAATACTATACTCCTGTTGATGGGTATAACCCACTGCTACCCCCTTCACAGGCGCCGGGGGTACTGAAGTCCGACCCAGGTAATCTGACCGGGTGGATGTCAGGGGGTGAGACTTGTGAGACCGTGACTTCATTCGCAGAAGGCTTGAAGATTAGTCGACTTGAAGACTAGCCGGAAGGATGCCTTGAAATGAACATTATTAGCGATAAAAAATATTTCTATTATTATAAATATGAGTGAAAGCCTCATAAAGAAGGCAAACAATTAATAACTCACACACCTTGTAATTTGTAATTGGTCCCTATATAGTAATAACAAATCAAGTTACAAGTGTTTCCACCTATAGCCCCTTCGCTTTTTGTGACTTAGTACTCACGTTGGTTTTACACCATCACCCTCCGTCCCAAAAAGTCCTTCACGTTCCAAAAAACCATGTCCCCAAAAATCCTTCCCATTTCTATTAAAAAACCACTTTCACCCCTTATTTTTTGATACCCTACTTATCACATCATATTTTTTTTCCTACTCCCTCCGTCCCCAATTTGATTACAATTTTTCCTCTCTCCTCTCGATAACTTTTGTTTGTTTACGCAATTTCATTAAGTATTTGATAGAATAAAATAATCTTTTCACCTCTTATTTTGTAGAACTTTTACCCTTACTTTTTTAATATGTAATATTTATTTCTTATCGATATACCGGTTTGTAAATAAAATAATTTCAAATAGTGAAATGTTTCTCCTCGTAAACCCCAATTTCTAATCAAAAGAGGGACGGAAGAAGTAATAATCTACACATCACATCCTATTTATATTCATCATCAAGGGTATCTTTGAAAAATCAACACAAAATTATCTCTTTTTTATTTAACCACTTTAGTCAATATGTTTTGGACACTCAATCATTGCTACTTCGGTATTTGGAAATGTATGGACACTCAATCATTGCTACTTCGGTATTTGGTCAACAATTATGGAATCATATGCATTCCCTAACACTATTATTATGTAAATTAAATAGATTGTAACAATGTTTTGGTTTTGTTTCTCATGCATTCACACATGGCACCAAACAATAATATTGTTGCATCCTAGGGGTGGACACGGTACGGTTCCGGGACGGTTCCGGTTCCGGAACCGCCGGTTCCGGTACCGCCACCCCGAGTAACCGGAAATGATACCGTGCCGGCCGGTACCGGTTCCGGTTCCCGGACCGGCGGTTCCGGTACCGGTTCCGGTTCCCGGACCGGCGGTTCCGGTACCGGTTCCGGTTCCCGGACCGGCGGTTCCGGTACCGGACCAGCCGGTT